ACTTCTGAAATAACAGAAAGCAAGTGGGGTGGAGGGAAAGAAACAAGTTTTAGTGAGATATTGGAAGAGGACGTTTACTGAAATGCCAGATGCTGTGTTAAGTGCTCTATATCTTTATATCTTATAACTTTACATCATCTGCAGAGCTCCCTTCTTAGGAGTGCTCCATAAACAGGAAGCACCTAAAAAGGAAAGAAAGAGACACAGAAAGACAGGCAAAGAAGCATCTGTCCACAGAAGCAAAGGGAAAAAAAGAACTAAATACCAAACAACTAATAAAGTATAGCTAATATACTCGAGGATTGAGGCAGGAGGGAAGAACTATTTCATCATATATTAAACTAATTCATGCTTTCAAGCCATTACTGCATTTGTAAGTGTTCATCCAGCTGGTCCTGAGCGCCACCATTCTCTGCTCTTTCACCCCCCCTGCTGGTAGTGCCAAAAAGCAGTCCTCAGGTCAAAACAGCAGCAAGCGCAAGGTAGGTGAGGAAATGAGGTGGGTATTTTATGCAATTGTGCTTCACAAACCTTAATATGCGTATGATTTACCTGGGAATCTTGGTAAAATGCAGATTCTTACTTAGTAAGTCTGGGCTTGGGCCTCAGAGTCTACATTTGTAGCAGGTGATTCTGGTCCATAGACCATGTTTTGAACAGGATCGCCTTCTATCATCAAAAATCACCAGCACAAAAACCCCTTCTGAAGGTTTCCCAATTTCATGTAATTTACCTCTATGGTATTTAAGTAGTTCTCTACCCATCATTGGGTCCAATCCACAGTTGAAGAATTTAAATTCATTGGGAATGTTTCTCCAGTTGTATCAATGATTTACTTCTGTATAAGTCATCAGCTTCATTTTGATGATAGTAGAAGATTGGAATCTAGTTAGAAAATGTTGCAATGATTTTGTCATACAGAATCAATTTTTTATTTTAGAAGAGTTATTTAACCAACCCTTTCATTTTACAAATACGGAAGCTGAGGCACAAAGAGATGTATGACTGGACTATAGCCATACAACATGCTGACAGCAGCCAGACTAACAATAGACTTTCATGCTGTCTGTCCAGATCACTTCCTATTTTTCTCTCTATCTAAAGTAATCAGACTCATATCTGGTAAATCCAATAGATCACTGAAGTCTTAAAGTGACACACGACAAAGCTCAGGAAATGCATATGACAGTACACATCGTAATTTGTCCTTTTATAAATTGGTGTCCAGCTCTTTCTTATCAGTAGATTTAACCTTTAAATATCCATTAGAAGGAAAAAGAAACACTAGACCCTGTGTTATTAGCATCACCTATCTTGAATGTTTAATCATCATGTTGCTTTATCCTTTCTTCCTGACTTCAATTTATTACAACTGGACACATTAGGTTCTAACTGATATTCTTAAAATTCTCCAATAATAAATGCAAGTTATTTCATACAGTGGGGGCCGAGAGGATTACTAAGCAGGTTTTAAGTGAATAATTCATTATTTGGGTAAATAAAAGGATTAATTGATTATTATATTCAGATAACAAAATAGCAAAACAGAAAGTCTTGTAAGACCCTCAAATGAGGCCATCCTCCAAATGGCGTTAGCCATGAACTAAGTAATTTCACATCTTCAGCATCAAAATTCACTTCAGAGTATTTAAGTGAATTTCAAGCTTGATTGAGAGTGAAAGGTAAATTTCCGAACTGTCCTTTCCATCCCTTACCCCCCTAAAAAAGGCAGAAGAGTAAATAAAGTTTCCTGGCCTCTGAGGTCCCACCCAATATATGAGATGAGCAAAGTGAGTGGGCGAGTGAAATCGTTTGTAACAAAAGCCCATTATTTACAGATGAGAAATTTATATTGTCAGCATAATATCTGTGAGGCTAAACAGCGGTGGAGAGTATATAAAAGCAGTGCGCTTTGGTGCAGAAGTACAGAGCTCAGGACACAGCTCTTCCACGGTTCCAAAGAGGGCTCACTCTCTCGCCACGGGCTCTGTTCCACGCCCCGGAGTCAGAAGGTAAGATTAATATTGAATGATTGTAAGACTGTATATTCTGTTTTGGGTACAGTGAAGTATTTTTAAGGGGACAAATTATTATGAATTAAGGTGTTGTTCTTTCATCTTATACTTTATTACTAATAATACATGGGGCAGAATTAGGATGAAGATGTGATATTAAATGTATTTATCTATACGTCAACAGAGTGAAGCCGCAAAATGAGTTGGAAAAATAATTCAATGAAAAGATATAAAGTAAAAATTAAAACAAAGATTCAAATCAATGCACTTGTTACAAGATTTAACTGTTATGAGGACTGCATTTTAAAAATAAGGGGTAACATTTTTTAAAATAAATGTTATCCTTGGACTTGATAAATGTGTATATTACTTTGAACAGAAGGCGCCTTTTAAATTCAGCAGAAATGTGTCCATTAGAGAGGCTATAATAGTAATTGCTCCTTACCAACGAAAACTTATCAACATCATCATTCAAATATTCAAATTTCTGATAAGTCTATTAAAAAAATCAAAGTCCATGAAATCAGCTCATGTAAATAAGACAAAGCTTATTTGGTGCAATGAACAAATATCAATTATTGGGATTTTTTGGCTGGAGCTGAATAAAATCATAGATTAATGATTAACTACTGCGTATTGAGAACCTATAGTAATAAATAAAATATCTAAAATGTCCACATTCTGAGATGAAGCTTTAATAAATCTCTTTAGATTCAAAATCAGATGTCCTAAAATACCTGTTTAATTTCTTGAAGGCAGAGAAGGATTTTACAAATATCTCCGATGAAGTAAATGATTAAGTGGTGTGTTTTTCCACACATGCCAAGAATCTATGAAAGGAAATGAGCCAACCAGCTTAAAAAGTATTTATTTGGCCTACAAGGCCAATACATTTAGGGATATTATATCATATTGCCTTGCCTAGGTCTAAGATTAATCTTTCTAAAAGAATTTGTATACAGGGAATATGATTGTTACCACATTTTCCCTTTAAATTGGAGTGGAAATGTGCAGTTTTTACAAAACTACAGGCTTTCTCCTTAGGCTACCTAAGTTTGGGGTGGGGGCTAGGGAGTAAGTGGAAATTCTTCTCATATTGAATAAGATTTTGAAACTAAAATAACATGTATTTGCTTTCTCAGTTGTGGTATTCAATTAATTATTCTTAATTTTTTTCACAATTTTGTAGACATTTTACACATGAATAAATGAAATTTTTAAAATCAGTTTCTCTTTCAGTGGAACTGACTGTTTTGCCTGTGGCGGGCTATGAACAGTCACTTCTGCGTGGCTGTTCCCTCTCCCATCAGCTCCCACAGCAGCAGCGGAGCACCACATGCTTTAAGTCCACCTCCGCATAATATAATAGAAGATTTTGTAAAACCTTTAGGGACTTTACACAGAAGGAACTATCTAGGACCAAATTGACTATGCCATAGTGGTGTAATTCTAAAAAGAAATGTTTGCTTTAATTTTTTTAAAATTCCTGAAAGTGTGAACTTATAATTGAGAAGTATAATCAGAAGACACTACTTAGATACATGGCAAAATTTCCAAAGTTTGCCAACTAGATAAACTGAAGAATAGCAAAATGCCAAATTAGGGATTTAATGTTGATGAATGAAGAAGCATGAATATGTAAGTCCTATTGTGTTGCTTTCTGTAACTGACACTTAAAGAGACTTAATATTTCAAAGAAAAAAAAATACCACTGCTGGCATTACAGTTCCCATGTTTTAGTGCCAAGGATAGATAGCAAATATGGTTAGGATGTTAAAGAAAAGATTGATAGTTTAAAATGATAATATTTGTAAAATTGTTATTTCAAACCAAATCCCATTTGCTAAAAATACTCATTCAAATTATTTATGGATAAACATAATCAACGTTGGATTGAAATCCCCACTTCTCAAAGTAAGCATGGTGGGGCTTGGGTAGCAGAGAGAAGTGCGTGACAAATGCTGGACTTGAGGTTTCTATTCAGAATATAGAGGAGCTTGCCCTGTGGGGACATTCTGCCCCAAATTGGTGTTAGCTCCTACCCCACCCACTCTGCATCATCACATCCTGGGTATCCTATGGCTTCACAGGGCACTTGCCTTGGGACAAGGACAAGTGTATCCTACAACCAGGTCTAGAGTGTCACAAGCAGTGAATGACATGTCCTGGACTAAGTCCAATTATAAAACAACCCGGGGACTTCCAAGACTTCAGAAGCAAGCATTAATTTTCTTTATGACAGTGATCTCTGAGTTTCTTAGTTGTGATTGTTCAAGTTGCCAAAAGCATTAGTTCTTGTTGCAAATTGCTTGTCTTTAAAATGATTTTTTTCCCTTTAATTTAGAACAGGTCAAAGCACTCTAAAATACCTCAAATCTGTTGGCCGCTTTATAATTACAAAGTCTAGACCAAGTTACACTATTTAAAATATAAATGAATAATACATCTGAACCGACAGCTGGTATGCCAAGTTGTAGCCTGAGGCTGCTTTAAGATGGTTGAAATGCAGGATAATGTAAATGCTTGGAAGTGAAGGACTATTAATTGAAAGCCAGACTGATAGGGAAGGGGGTGGCATTATGGATAAGGTGGCTTTCAGACTAACCATATGTAGCATATCATCTACAGTGGATATTTTAAATGTTTATCAGGGACATTTTTTAATTCCAGATCTGGAAATGAGCCTTCTAATTATTAACAGAATTGTCCTACATTAATGAAAAAGCTTAATTGTAGTACACATCTTTTATTATTATTATTATTATTATTATTTTTGGCCATCCAAAAAATCTGAGGGAAATACAATCTCTTATTTGAAATTAAGCTGGAAATGTACTCAGTAAAACTGATGATGACTAGTATTTTCTTTTTATTTATAATATTTATTTTGTCAAAATCAAACTAATTTAGCCTGACATGTTTAAACACGGTTGCCTGTCTCCCTCCTCCTATCTCTCCTTGACTGTGTTCCAACAGGCAGCAAAAATGAAAAGCTTTTACTTTGTGGCCGGATTATTTGTAATGCTGGTACAAGGCAGCTGGCAACGTTCCCTTCAGGACACAGAGGAGAAATCGAGGTATTAAGTCCTAAGATTTGAACTAACATAACATTATGGTTATATATTATAACCTGTGAAAACTATGATTAGTGAATGGTCTCAGTATTTAGAATAAATACTATGCATAATTTTCAAAAGTTTAAAATATCATTGTGATAAAGTTGTTTCTGGAGTATAGATCAAAGTATGTTGTTTCACAACCAGAGGAGTAGGCAATGTTGAAAAATGTGTTACATGGGAAATTATAGCTCGTTGCATCTTCAGCTGATCCTATCTATCCATTCATTACTCACACACTGCATAGTAGATTATTTTAATTACTCACACCAACTTTTTCTTTTTATTCCTTTTTAAAAATAACACTGTTTCTTGCTAATTGTAAAAGTCATACATGTTCATGATAGAAAATATGCAAAAAATGTTATGTATTAATATGTACTGTATATAAATATATCTCAGATCATTATGCAGCTTCATGTTATACCTTTTATGTTAGCATTGTATTGTTAGCTTTTTCTTATATCATTAGGAATATCTATTAAATGTGTGATATTTAATGGCTGTACACTATTTCATCTCATAAATGTGTAGTAGTTATTTAGCTATTCTTCTTCTATTGAACACTTGGGTTCCTCAGTTTTACCACAAAGAATGCAACAAATAATATTTCTCCCTAAATGTTTTTTTAGCATTTTCCAGAAGTTAGATTTCCAGTAGTAAAATTACTGTGTCAAAGAGTTTGAATGAGCTTAAATCTTTCATACCTTTCCAACTTGTTTCCAGGAAAGTCATACACATGCACAATCCCACCAGCATTATAGAAACATTCCTCTCACAATGCCCCCCCATAGTTATTCTTTGCAATTTGATAGATGAAAATGGTATATCAATTCTATTTCTGAGTATTAACCACATTGATTATTTCCACATATTTGCCATGCCAATTAACTGTTGATTACCAACATGTGGATTATCCACTATACAGTTTGAAATTAGCAGAGCTTTTTCTTGTTTTTCTTTAAATTTTTAATTGCCTTTCTTTTTCACCACTAGCTATCATGTAACCAGGTAACAAAGCTACTATTTTGTATTGAAATATGCAAAACAAAATTGGGAACATAGATCAGCTGCCCAAATGATTTGAACTTCTTTACTTTTTTAAAATAATGAAGTCATTGCTCTCTTCGGTCATTATTGGCACAACTGTAAGTAGATTAATTAGTGGGAAAAAGATTTATTTAATCTTATTTCAGTAAAGAAGAAACCACTTAAAAAAATCTATTACTAGGATTCAGAATCAGAATGTACTCAACTCTAATAAAATTCTGAAATTCTCGTGGCAAACAAGGTCTCTCTGATACCAGCTAAAATACTCAAGGCATCTGCCTTTCAATTTCATGTGGTCTGGTGTTTTGTAGAGAAGATGCTCCTCGAGTGAGTTCACTCTTGAGGAGAGATTTAGTTGTATCAATCATTGTTCTTCACAGCTCATTCCCAGCTCCTCAGAGAGACCCGCTCAGTGATCCAGATCAGATGAATGAAGACAAGCGCCATTCCCAAGGCACATTCACCAGTGACTACAGCAAGTACCTGGACTCCAGGCGTGCCCAAGATTTCGTGCAGTGGTTGATGAACACCAAAAGAAACAAGTACGAGTCTAAACCTAGTTCAAAATTTGTGCACAAATGGATTACTTAAATATGTCTAACATTTGTCTTGCCTTTCTTATATTATCATGCTCATCAAATAGTGCCCATGAGCTTTTTCAATTTTGATGATTTCCAAGGTCGGTGATGCTATCCTCTGTATTATGCCTCAAAGTGTCTCAGCTGTCACCCTGCCAAATGCCTTACCCACCCTCTAATGGAACATAGGCTTTACATTATTTTCCCAACTCTGGTCTTACTGTTAATATTTATTCCCTTGCCCACTTTCAAATAAAATTGAAAGATGACTGTTGTAGACTTGCAAGGGTAGGAATCTAATTTCTGACCAAAAGATAAGAGCAATTTCAACATTCCCTTGTAGGGTTCAAACTTATGATTATGATCACATTTAAAGTAACCCCTAGCCAAGTTAATCATGGTAAGGAATGGAAACAGATGCAGTCTTTTTCTTGTAAAATACAATCCAAGATACACATTTAAAATTATAGCCTTGCTGCACCGCATAAAGAAAGAAGAAAGCAAATAAGAACACAAGCCTATCATAAGGCATACATTTTAATGTTGGATTTTCATTCACAGTGTTGGGTTTTATGATGCATGTAGGCTACTGAAGGAAATCATCCACAAGGGTTTCACAGAGATGGTGGAATTTCACAATTTCTTTGGAAGGTGGCCCACGGGGGAAGGGAGTTATGCATTCAAAGTAGTTGAAGGAATCTAAAAATCAGGAAAATGGCATAGATTTGTCTGAATAGAATGGAAAAAGGGGAAAGAGAATGAGAGAAAATGAATATGGGTCAGCAGGAGGGAATTAGAGGTCCGTTGACCAAAAGTTCTTAAAGCTGAGGGCATGCTAAGAAAGGCGGTGGGCACGAGCAGAGCGGGCACTGGGAGAGGTCCCTGGTAGCAACTGCCGACATGGCCACTGGTGAAATATGAGAAATCACAAATTTGGAAAAAAATAAAAACAACCGTCCTCATTTCTAGAACGAGAATGCCACAATTTGGTAAATTAACGTAAACTAAACCTTGCTCTCAGTGATTTCTGCTGTATGTTTAAGATGAAACCTTCTGGGGGTAATAAATGCAGGAGAAACTGAGGACAGATGGTCAACCACCTACACCACACACTGGGCACTCTTAAGGGTGATATGGGGTCATCATCTTAGCTTTCCTCTTTGCTGTCCCATCTCATGCTCCCTTTCATCCATTATCATGTGGTCCTCTTGATAATATTTTGAGATGGCCCTTTGCTTTCCCTTGACTCAGTTATCTACCTCTGATCCCGTATGTACTACTAACAAATAGCTGCTTTGTTTGCAAGCAGCATAGCACATTGAGAGTTCACATACACTGAGACTGAAGTAAATGCAGCCTCAATAATCAATGGCACAGAGAAGCAGAGGAGGTAAAAATGGCGGTGCTGAGTTGAGTAGGGGAGCATTAGCTCTTCTTAATTGTTATTATCTGTCTCCCATCAAACTTCAATTCAGATAATTATGTAGTTTTGAGATGAGTCCCCTAGCAACCCCCTTCTCCCAGACCTCCCTAAGCGCCTTATACATAGAATCCTCAAACCAAAGCTGCCGCTGCATATACAACCATATTGCTAAAGAGACACCTTCAATTTAATGTTCACATTTCTTTCAGGAATAACATTGCTAAACGTCACGATGAATTTGAGAGACATGCTGAAGGGACTTTTACCAGTGATGTAAGTTCTTATTTGGAAGGCCAAGCTGCCAAGGAATTCATTGCTTGGTTGGTGAAAGGCCGAGGACGGAGAGAGTAAGTTTATACCCTCTTCCTTTTTTTTTTTTTTTTTTTTTTTTTGCGTGATGCTGAAACCTCGGCCTACGGTTATCTATATATGGATTTGAATTATGGAAAAAATTACTATAGTCTCACAAAGCAAGGAAATAACTCCTATTGGTGAAAGACAGTCTATAAGAATCTAATCTGTTTTACCTGCAGTAGAAAGTATTGATAATAGAGTCAAACAGGTGACATTTTTATCCCATGTTAGGGTTGTGTTTAATTAGATTCTTAACTTGTTAATCCAAGAAACTTTTGAGAGTAGAGTGCTTTTGAGAACTACACTAAAACAATAAGCTGAAACCAGAACTGTCCTAGGAAAACTAGGGATAAAGAAAAGAAAATAATGCTGAAAACTTAGTTTGACTTTAAATATTTGCAAATGGGGTTAACATATATTTATGTGTTAGTAAGTGTGTAGGTAAATATCTGATGAACACTGGAAGGAACTAAACTTAAGTTGTTTAATGAAATGACACCCAGAATAGAGATGTGTGCAAACATCCATGTCTTTAACAACATACCCATTTTTTATGGTGCTGTCATATAAATAACCATTATCATGACCATACCATTACCATAGCTGAAAACGAGGCTGAGACCTGTGGGTACCTCCTTGGATCTTCCCACAACTAAACAGACCCCTGAGCCATCTCATTTTCTCTTGATGATTTTGACTGACATTTGAATTATGAGAAGCAGGAAATTCATGGGCAATTCAATTTTTCAGTGAGATTTAAAACAAGTTTACTGAGATTTAAAGAAATCTTAAGACATAAGGGAACTGGTATCATCACTGTTTTTTTAAAACATTAATAATCCAGTTCACAAAATCATGATAAAATAGTCACTTACCCTTTAGGATATTTTACAGTGTCTTAAAGGGATACCCAAAATTCTGCTAATTAAATACATCAAAGAGAAAATCTGATATAGACTAAGGTTTAATCCCTTAATACTGCACTTAGCAAGGCTGTTCTGATAATCACTAGTTTTATGGCATATCGTACATTTTTCTGAATCATAAAAAAATTAATAGTCTCAATAATAACTTCTGTGTTATCAGTATACTAAAATCTTTGAAGCAGCTTGAACATTGAGAAAAGCATGAGGTTATACAGACTTGGTTTTACATCCCAGCTCTGCCTTTTACTACCTACAGAATGTCCATTCTGACGTGCACCAGGTCATCCAAGTTTCTGTGAAGCTTTTCATAGTAGGTCCTCTGTAAATAGAAACTTATCTTCTCAATGACCCTTACACGTTACCAGTGATAGGCAATCAGTACACATTTATTTAAAGCATTTAACTGAATACTGATTTTTATCCCTTTTTTTCTCAGTTTCCCAGAAGAAGTCACCATTGTTGAAGAACTCCGCCGCAGACATGCTGATGGCTCTTTCTCTGATGAGATGAACACAGTTCTTGATAATCTTGCCACCAGGGACTTCATCAACTGGTTGCTTCAGACCAAAATTACTGACAGGTGATTGCATTTTAGTTCATTCTGAAAACCATCAAAACTTTCACAAATATCATACTGCTATAGGCTGTTCCACATGTGGGGAGGAGAATCTTGATATATAACCAAAATTATGAATCATTTAAGAGTACACTATTATATTTGTTTTAAATCCTTGCACTTTTATCTCTTCACCCATTTGTTCCAAATACATTTCCTGAGTGTCAGTAAGGGGCAGGATGTTAGGAACACAGATAAGAATAAAACATAGAAATGTTTTATTTTCTATGTTTTATTCTAAGTCATTCACATATTGTCACATTTCAAATTTCTTTGTATGCTAAAATTTTAGCACAAAATAAAATAACAGTATATTTGGTATTATATACTTAATGTAGTAATCATATCAATAAAAAATATAAACACCCCAAAATTAACCACTGTTCTTGATAGGCTGTACTTGCTTTTTATAATTATTTATACACTTCATATTTCTTGTTAGGGAAACTTTAGGATAAACCATCTTTGAATGCAAATATTTAATGAGTTCAAAAGACTAAGGGATTTAGAAGATAAAAAGGTTAATAAACAACTTTATCAAAATAAATGTTTAAAATGTTTCCTGAATAATTTAATTCTGTCATCTGAGTATTATAGCTGTTACATCATGTCTTCTGTCTTTTGTCTTTAGGAAGTAAGTGTGCCACTATTCAAGATCATCTTCACAACATCACCTGCCAGTCACCTGGGATGTTTGAAATTTTAAGTTCTATAAATTTAAGAAGTGTATTCTGAAGCGATACTGCTTTGCATGCCAATGAATAGATTATCTTTTGATGTTGTTGCCAAAAGATTATAAATGAAATAAAGCATTGTCAAAATATTGCTAAAATATTAACTTTAAAATATAAAAGTGCAAAATCTCTTATTGTCTTCTTATTTTGAATGAAATATCCTAACCTGCTTATAGTTAGCCATGAAATTGTTTTCCCATGATATAATTTGTACATATAAATTATTTCAATCACAAAATATCTGCATTATAGTAAGTGTAGGGCTGGTAGCTACAGTGGTGAAACTGGAAAGAGAAATTTCTTCTTGAAATTTTTGTCATAAAAACGCTTAGCTTTCAATATATCAAAGACAGACTTAAATAAAATATTCAAGCTTCTTTCCCATTGCCTGTTTTCTCTCTTCTTTATGACCCCACTCCTTCCAAGCACCTCTTCTTCCTCAGCCGGTAGCCCACAACCCAAATCTGGTCAGGCATCGCTTCATGTTGTGAATGGCTGCATATTAACCTTTGGAGCCAACATTGAAAACTCATGGTATTTTATATATATGTACTGATTTCTGGCTTCACTGGAAAGATTAAGACTTCAGGCAATATTAGATCCACAAAACAAATTTCTTCTGGAGCTGAATACCAGCTGCCTCCTTTTGAAGGGTGACATGCTCTTCAACTCACTACTGTGCCCCCTACACACACACACACACACACACACACACACACGCACGCACTATACACATATGCATGCTCACACACCCACACCCACACAATGTACACATGCAGGCACTTTCTCCTAGACCACTTTATTTATACATCTGACTTGCCTGGCCCCTGCTGACATTTACGTGCCTGTCATACCCTGTACCCTTGTCTCTCCATCCTGCAAAGTCCAGTATCTTGTGCCAGTCTGGTGCTGATGGCCATGCCAGAGATTTTTGGCTTTTTAGTATACGGTATTATCAACTTTCTTTCTCTCTTTTTTTTATTGAAATATAATAAATGTATAACATCGTGTAAGTTTAAGTTGTACAATGAGCCAATTCGTTACATTTATTTATTGCAATACAACTACCGCCTTAGTTTTAGCTAACCTTCTATCAAGTCACATAATTATTTTTTCTTTGGGGGGATGAAAACATTTAAGATCTAGTATTTTAGTAAATTTTAAATATATAATACAGTATTGTGGATTATAATGACTATGCTGTGCATTAGATCGCCAGAATTTACTCATCTTCTAGTTGCAAGTTTGTACTGTTTATAAAATCTCCCTAAGTCCCATACCCTGCTCCAGGCCCTGCTAACCACCCTTCTACTCTCCAGTTCTTTGAGATTGGGTTTTCTAGATTTCACATATAGGTGATTATAGAGTTTTTGTTATTCTCTGTCTGGTTTATCTCACTAAGCATAAAACACTCAAAGTTCATTTACACTGTTGGCAAATTGCAGAATTCCCTTCCATCTCATGGTTGATGGAGCAAACGAAAAAAATCAGTAATATCTGAAAAACTTAATTAATGAAATAAACTTGATATTTTTAGTACATTACACCTACTAATAATTAAATTAATATTCTAAGTACACAGAGAATGTTTACCAAGATTGACTTTATGCTAGATCAAAAGTCTTCTATAAACTTCAAAAGTTAAAATTATTCAGAGTATGTTCTCTGGACACAGTGGAATTAGGCTTGACATCAAAAACAAAAGACCTTTCAAATTCACAACTGCTTTGAACTAGGCAATTATTTCTATATAATCCATTGGTCAAAGAAGAAATCATAAAGAAAATCAAAAAAATACTTTTTAATTATATGATAATGAAGATAAAATAAATACAATCTGGAAATAAAACTAAAGCAGTGTTTAAGAGTAAAAGATAGCTTTAAATGCATTTGCTAGAAAGAAGAAATTAGAAAATAAATAGTCTAGTTTTACCTTTAAAAATTTGAAAATAAAACCCCAGCAACTTTCAAAAAATAAACAAGAGAAAATTAAAAAAATAGGAGAAAATAATGAAATACAGGAAAATTGTTAATAAAAATGAAGAAAGCCAAAAGTTGGTTCTTTGGTCAGATTAATAAAAATAATAAGTCCCTAGCAAGACTAGACAAGAAAAAGGGAAAGTTACCAATATCTATAACAAAAGGGGATAACTCTAAATATCTTACAGACAATAAAAATAAAATAAGAACATATTATATAAAAGTATACACCTGATAAACTTGACAATTAGATGAAATGGACAAATTTTCTTTAAAACTATTACTAAAATAGACACAAATAATAGGAAAATCTTAATAGTCCTCTGTGTAGTATAAAAGTTGGATGTGTTATTTTGAAAATTTTTTCAGAAAGAACTTCAGGCCCAGACAGCTTAACAGGTGAATTCTTCTAAACATTTAAGGAAGAAAAAACACCAATATTACATAAACTCTTCAAAATAAGGGGAAAATAAGGACTACTTCCCAGCTCATTTTATGAGGCCAGGATAACACTGATATAAGAATCTGACAAAGATTTTACAGAAAAGGAAAATAAAAGACCCATCTTGATTCATGAAGAGAAGTGAAAAATCCTATACAAAACATCAATGAATCAAATCTCGCAATATACAAGAAAAACTATTACAGTATAAACAAAGTGCATTCTAAGAATTTCAGGGTGGTTTATCATTTTTAAAAAATCAATGTAATTCACAACATTAACAGAAACAGGAGAAAATCCATATGCTCTTTTCAATAAATGTAGCAAACACATCTGATGAAATTCAAAACCTATTAACATTTTGTTAAACTCTCAGAAGGAAATAACGAAGTTAAAACCTTTAACTACTTTGGGTAGAAAAACACCAAAAAATAAATAATTTTATTTATTTTTTATTATAAGAATAAGAAATCAAAATTATGGTTTTGTGAAAAGAAATGAAGAACACCACTAGCCAACCTAAGGGAAGACTAGAAGGAAAGAACGTATAAAATAAAATGAATTGGAAAACAGCCATTGAAACAATGAAATTAAAACAAATTTGAGACAACTGAAAGTGCTGAACAAAAATATTTAAATACCTAGCAGATATGGATAAAATTTTTTTAACATATTTTATTGGCTGTGCTATTACAGTTGTCCCAGATTTCCCCGTTTGCCCCGCTCCACTTAGTACTCCGTGTTGCCTCAGGCAATCGCTCCCCTTAGTTCATGTCCATGGGTCATGCATATAAGTTCTCCGGCTTCTCCATTTCTTGTACTGTTCTTAACATCCCCCTGTCTATTCTCTACCTACCAGTCTATACTTCTTAATCCCTCCAATTTCTGCCCCCCTTTCTCCCCTTCCCCCTTTCCCCTTCCAGCTGATAACCCTCCAGGTGATCTCCATATCTATGATTCTGTTTCTGTCATGCTTGTTTGCTTAGTTTGTTTTTTAGATACAATTGTTGATAATTGTGGATTTAATGCCATTTTAATGTACATAGTTTTGATCTTCTTCTTTTTCTTAAATAAGTCCTTTTAACATTTCGTATAATAATGGCCTGGTGATAATGAAGTCTTTTAGCTTTACCTTGTCTGGAAAGCACTTTATCTGCCCTTCCATTCTAAATGATAGCTTTGCTGGATAGAGTAATCTAGGTTGTAGGTCCTTGCTTTTCATCACTTTGAATACTTCTTGTCAGTCCCTTCTAGCCTGCAAAGTTACTTTTGAGAAATCAGCTGACAGACTTATGGGAACTCCTTTGTGCGTAACTCTTTGCTTTTCTCTTGCTGCTTTCAGGATTCTCTCTTATCTTTGATATTTGGCATTTTAATTATTATATGTCTTTGTTGTTGTCCCCTTTGCATCCACAGAGCATTTGCGATTCTGTGTTTCCTGGACTTGTATGTCTATTTCCTTCACCAAATTAAGGAAGTGTTCTTTTATTATTTTTTCTAATAAGTTTTCCATTTCTTGCTTTTTCTCTTCTTTTTCTGGCACCCCTATAATGTGAACGTTGGTATGCTTGAAGTTGTCCCAGAGGCTCCTTAGCCTGTCCTCGTTTTCTTGGATTCTTTTTTCCTCTTGCTGTTCTGATTGAATGTTTTAATGTTTTCTTTCTTTCATCAATGTGTTCCAAATCATTAATTTGATTCTTGGCTTCATCCACTCCATTGTTGGTTCCCTGTAAATTTTTTCTTTATTTCACTCAGTGTAAACGTCATCTCTGTCGGGGTCTTTTTCACGCTGTCGAAGGACCCAATGAGTCC